GTAGACTGGATACTGGTTCAAGTCCATCTGGTTGGGCCTCCGTGGCCTCCTTCATCAAGACAACAGTTGACTCACCACAATGACAGGACATTTTGAGAGATACTCATAGTCCCCTGGAACTAGTCGACCTAGGAGGGCAGGAGCAAAAACTGTCCTTTATGTCCCTCTGATCAAATTAGTATAGGCCTCAAATTATGTCTGTTAAACATCCAAGAAGGTTAGTTCCACCAGTCTGGTACTTTTAGTTACTGTGTGTCATGTAGACCAATTGTCTTCATCTTTAGAGCTAGGGTTATCACAACCGTTCCTTTCAAGCAGGGCCTAATCTGGAGCTCATGTCTCTGGCTCCATATTCCATGCTCTTTCCATGTCATACCCTGGTCTGCTTCCAGGATGAAATCTTGGTCTTCTCCATCTTTGTTCCACCCTATCTCATGCATTTGCTGAATAACCTCCCTTCTACAACACCCCAGAACCACTCATAACTTCATTCCCAGAATCTCTTTAAGGGAATGCACCTTTGTCTGTTCAAAATTCCTCTAGTCTCAACTTAAATCTGGTCTTTTATTATTTGCTCACTACAAATACAGAATAATTGAGCAGATTTTTCTGTCATTTATTTATTTATTTTTGTTTTATGTGTATGGGTGTTTTGTCTACATATATGTAAGTGAACCCATGCTGTACAATGCCTGCAGAAGCCAGAAGAGGGCATCAGATTCCCTGGAATTGGAGTTACAGACAGTTGTTAGGTGCTGTGTGGGTGCTGGGAATGGAACCCAGGTCTTGTTGAAGAGCAGCCAGTGCTTTTAACTGCTGAGCCATTGATCCATCCTTCCATCCTGAGCAGATTGTTCTTAAGCAGATCTTTCTTTTCTTTCTTTCTTTCTTTCTTTCTTTCTTTCTTTCTTTCTCCAATCTAGAATTATGTATGTAGGTGAAAATACGCTCCCCCCCTCAAAAATGATAGAAGACTCTTTCTTTCTTTCTTTTTTGAGACAGGGTCTCTCAGTAGCCCCAGCTGGCCTGGAACTCCCTGCATAGACTAGCCTGGACTTGAACTCATAGAGATCTGCCTGCCTCTGCATCCCAAGTGCTGGGACTAAAGGCATGTGCCACCACGCCCAACAAATTTTGGGGGCAATTCCCAAGAAACTCTCTGCTAGATATAGGTTAAAATTTCCCAATTCCTTGATTTAATAAAGTCCATGTTTTCTATGTATTGTATCTTTGGGGAAGGACAGGATTTGGGTAATTAATTTCAGGTATAGTGCCTTAGTAGAAATACTCATGATTTGGGAACCTCCTGCAGCTTTGGAAAGAGATGTTGGTTATTGGTCTTTTGTCTTTGTATTATTAGTTTTTGATACTGTCCGTTATTTAGATAGAGTTTGTTAGGCTAGATACTGTTGTCAACATAGTCTTCATTGTCCTGATTGCTCATTTAAATTTATTAAGAAATATTACTATTAGCAAACGTTTATTGAATGCTAATTGCTAACTTCTTCAATGTTTTATGAGAAAATGAACACAGTGTTTTCAAGAAAATCACTCAGAGACACGTGCATAGTAAATTAGACATTGAATTCTTAATTATATTTAATGTTAATTACTGTAAATTCAAATTTTCACTCATGGTTGGTGACTACGCCACAAATGATACAATTCAAATTCCAGACCTCACAAGCATGGGAAGCTCTTTCATTCAGTGCTGCATCTACATTGCCTGACAGCAGATTCTACATATTAATCAGGTGACTCAATGAAATGCTACGTGATTGCAAATTATGTGTTTGGGTCAGGTTGAAATAAAAACAAAAAACCCTATCGGTATATTTGACCTCTTTCTTTTCTGTTTGCAGGTTCTGGGAAATGGCCCTTACATTCACTGGTCTCAAGCTGCAAGGATCACTGGGTCGATTCGGCAAAACATCCACTAGTGATATAGAAGGCTACACAGAGCTCCCAGATGGGAAGGTGAGAATGTGTGTTGTTCTATGATGAAAAGCTTGTGCATACACGAGAGCATGCTTGTATGGAAATTACTATATGCTCTAAAAAAAACTGTCCACAACAGATATTGTAATTATAAATGTAGTGAACATTTTTAGAATATCAATTGAAATGAAAAAAATCCCTAAAATCATCATAATCCATATGTACATAACATTTCCTGTTTCCTTTTGCTAAATATTATATGCCCATGAAGTTTGTAAGCATTTTCATATATTAGCATAGTGATATGCTTGCTATTTTTAATGATGTCATGGAATTACAATTGTTTATATTAACTTTTCTTTTTGTCTTGATACACCAAGAGGACTTACTGGGTGAAGGTTCTAGTCAATCTTCTGACTTTTGTTTGAGTGTCATTGTTATTCAGGAAGATGGAGTCATTTCTTAACAGCATCTGTATCATTGCAGTTTTAACTTGTCAGTTGATTTTCTAACATTGTTAGTTTATATCTTCCTCTTATAGTGTTTAAGTTACCATTTTGGGGGGCGTTGAACCAAAATGATAGCTAATTAGGATCAACTCCTTTAATATATATTCTATAATATATTCTATTAGAATATATTATGTATTCTTTAATATATTCTATTAGGATAAGTTAGACTGTATTAGTTGTGATTACCTCTCTTATAAGAAAATGCCAACACACAAATATTACTTTGACTCTAAGAAATAAAATTATCTAAGTGATGGAATAGTCTCAATTTAAAAGTATGGTGTATAGGAAGAGATGAAATGCCTTGGGCCACCGCCATCTAGCAGAATCAGTGAGCTCAGGGTTCAGTGAGAGACTCTGCCTCAAAGTTTTAAAAAAGGTGGAAAGGAAGACTGACCTCTGGCCTCCAGGTGCACCTACATACATATGCACATAAGCACATTCATGTATTAGTTATTTTTCCTTGATGTGATAAAATACCATGACTAAAAACAACTTATACTGGAGGACATTTATTTTGGCTTACAGTTCCAGAAGGAGAGGCCATAGTGGTGGAGAAAGCATGGCTGCTGGTGGCTTGATCAGGAAGCTAAGAGATCACATCATCAACCATACACTAAAAGCAGAGAAGGGGAATTGGAAGAGGCAACTCAAAGCCCTCTCCCAGTGACATACTTTCTCCAGCAAGTCCTCACCACCTGGAGTTCATGATCTTCCCAAACAGAATCGCCAGCTGGGTACCAGGCATTTAAATACATGGGCCTATGGGAGCCATTTCTCATTCAAACTGCAGTAAACTCCATCACTCCCATCACACCCCCGCATAAAGCCTTGGGTACTGGTTAAATTGTATTTCCAAATTTATTCAACAGTCTTAAATGAGTCTGTTTTCAAATTGTGAATACTGCATTAAGGTATGATAAAGACCAACAAAACCTTTGTTTTAAACATGATATAAAATACATCTTTGACAGTTCAGTAGAGTTTGTATAGATGTCATGGAGAAAGAATCATTTTAAATGATAGAACCACAAAAGGAATTTTTAGAGTTAGGAATAAATACCAGTTATTTAGAGAGTAGATTGGAATAAGACACGTTGGAAAGAGTGGAAAGTGAGTTGACAAGTGTGATTGGGTCCTAATGTATGAGGCATTTAACAGTCACGCAGAACTTGTGCATGGATGAGTGGGAGATGTAGATGTATTTGGTCATAAAATTCAGGTAGATAGGAGGAAGGGAACTTTGCAATTAAGGTGATGAACAAGGAAGGAAGCTATTAGTGTCGTCTAAATAAAAGAGATGGTGAGGCATCCCTTTCTGGGGACTCGTGGAAGGGAGAAGTAGGTAAGACTGACAATCCAGAATGAAATGCCTTTTGTTTGTCACTTTGGGTGACTTTAATCAGTGAACAACTAATTTCATACAAGTTGAAGTATAATAGCAGTCACTAAAGGCTAGCAAAGGGATGGGGAAGGAGAATAGAGGGAGGTTGGACAATGAGTGCCAAAATACACTTACACAAAACTAAGTTCTAATGTTCCACAGCACCCTGGGTGTCTGGTTCACAGCAATTTCTGGAGTATTTTATAAAGAACTAGAAGACAAGAGTTAAAGTTTCCCATTACAAAGAAATGATAGATGTTTAAGGAAAGTGAAATGTTAATTACTCCAGTTTGATCACTGCACATTATACATACATATATCAACACAGCACAGTGTATCTCACAAATATGAAGTTAGTGTTTGTCAAAGAAAGCACATATTATAAACAAGCAAGTCTAAAGACTCTACTAATGTAAGCTAAGGCCTAGTAACAGATAAAATAGGCAAGTTAGTTAAAATTAGTTAGAAAGACTGAGTTAAAGTCATGAGTTCAGAACTGGAGAGCTGGCTCAGTGATTAAGAGCACTGGCTGCTCTTGCAGAGGACCTAGGTTCAGTTCCCACGTGGTGGCTAACGACCGTCTGTAACTCCAGTTCTAGGGGATCTGATGCCCTCTTTTGATCTCTGTGGGTATTGCATACATGTGGTGCACAAACATATATATAAGCAAAATTCTCATAAACATAAAACAAAAATATATAGATCTTAAAAGAAAATCATCGGGGATTGGAGATGTGGCTAGGCAGTTAAGAGCACTGACTGCTCTTGCAGAGTACCCAGGTTCAGTTCCCAGTACCTACAGGGCAGCTAACTACCATCTGTAACTCCAGTTCCAGGGGATTCATCGCCCTCTTCTGGCCTCCACGGGAATTGCAGGACATGGATGCACTTACATGCAGGAAGAACACTCATACACATAAAACTAAATTAAATAAATAAAAAGTCATAAGATGAGAAGAAAAGAGAAATGCAAATCCCCATAGCACGATGGACAGTTACACCAGCATTTCCCAGTGTGCATCAGTCCTCACAGAAGATACGTGGAAATAAGACTCTCTGAAAGTCAAAGTCCTTTGTATCTAGAGATTCCTCTTGATGATTACCAAGAAATGCAACTGTACTGAAGATTCTCTGGAATTCCAGAGAAAATAAATGCGTTTGTATGTGTTTGTTGGGTTCCCTTAGCCTCTGCCTTCTGAGACAGTGCCTTAGAACAGCAGCTTTGGAGAGTCACGTGCTTGAGCCAGAATCTTGACTCCTCTGGGTAATTTTTGGACAAGTTATTTGTTTTGTGCTGCAGTTTTCTCCTCTGAAAAATGAGGAAAATAATGATCAGAGTTGTTATTGGCCTGTGTTATTCCTCTGTGAGACCGGGAACAAAGCTGTTGCTTCTAGGGAAAATAAAGCACCACATGCACAACTGCTCAGTTGCTGAGGCGTGTAACTAGTGCATATGGCTTTGGGTATCAAATAACAACACAAATAAAGCACTCAAACAATATTTGGCACAAACTCCATCCTCAGTACTTCTTTTTTAGCACCCACTGAGCAGTCTAAGAACCAGTGTTTGATGGCATACATTCTGGGACATGCAATTCAGCATTTAATTCAAAATAGAATAATTGGGTGGGGTGGTTCCAGATGTTATCCATGTTTGAAACTGAGCTGTAATCTGTTCAATTCAGTAATGGCTTTACAACTTACCAAATGTCTAAAAAAATTTGACAGCATTATACTTAGAAAGTGGAATCTCATCTATGAAAGACTTTAAATATCCAATTATGTAGTAATTACACTCCTGAATTATGCCCTTAAGATGTGTACAGAGAAATCTACTTTGAGCATTTGTGAAGAAATTACCAACAACATACAGCCTGATCACAGTGCATAGTGCTAGGAAGAAATACATCAAAACATGGTTGAGTGGCGGTTGTGTCTGTGGTGATTGTTTTTATTTCTGCATTTTCCTTTTGTTCATATTCAAACTTTCTATTTTCATAGCTGTGAAAAGCAACCTTTGAAAATAACTCACCTACTATTTGGAGCAGAAATACATATATTTGTCTGTTTTTATGTTCATTTTTTCTTCACTTCTGCCAGGTGCTCTCGGGTTCGGAATGGGGCAACCTGCTGCTGTGGGAAGGTAGTCTCATCAAGGTGGAGCTCTGCCGTACTGGAATGAAGTGTTGTCACCAAGGTCCCATTAACCAGATAATGCTGGATGAGGGGGAAGTGATCACTGCTGGCTCAGATGGCTGTGTTAGGGTAAGGGTTTTTAATACTTGGGCACCAACACCTGCGTCTAAGACTTCCAGGTCACCGAAGTGGTTTTGTCTGAGTTTTATTTCTCTTAAAGGTCGTTTTATGGAGGCAGTCAAAGGTCATTTATTTCCAAGACTAGCTCAATTTAGATAATGCTTCTCCTGTGGTAAATATTTGCATGCTTGTCAAAATTAATTTGCTAAGTCTTAGCACTTTCTGAAGGCATCTCTTGTTTTTTTGTTTTTTGGGTTTTTTTTTGCCTCAGTTGTTGAAATAAGAGCTTCAGAAAGTGAAAGCCCATACTAGCCAAACAGTGGGCATTTTCTAAGAATTAAAATGCTGAGTATGTGTTATCTTTTACTTAGAATGCCAATTGGAAATGCACTTGGAGGTGTGCTGGTGGGGTGTGGGCATGTGACCCTCCCACCACTGCTGTACTCACCTGTTGCTCTGTCAACAGTGTCCTGCTGAAAGCCTGGAAGAAACTGGAATTTTGCCCCTTAATCTGTAATAGGGAGCAGGAGGCACAGAGGAATGCCACATAGTGACAGCTGAATCAGGAGTCCTTTATTAACCAAAAGGCCGGCAGTCAGCGAGGGGGGCTAATGCCCAAAAGAACTCTCAACAGAGGCAGAGTGGGGTTTATAAAGCTTAAAGCCACAATTACATCATGCCAGAGGCAAAGCCAATAACCATAATTACATCAGATCACCATAGTTACACCAGACTAGGGGCAGGTCAATTAACAAAGGGGCTTTCAGTTAAGAAAAAGTTTCAGTTAAGAAATATAAGTTTCTCAGAATTGCAGAAACAATGGGATCCATGGAGATGCAGGCATATTATTGTATTTATATAACAAATATAAATATTTTAATATAAAATTTGAAATAAAATATATAAAAAAACTCAATGGTCAAACTTTGGATGGTGCTGTAATTACGTCTAGTCATTGTGCATTTTCACTGAGCGAGAAGAAATGACATTTGAGAAAAATGGGGCCTTTTCTGACTTGGAATAAGTAATCCTGGGGCTGGTGAAATGACTTAGTGAGTGTCCTAGTTTGTTCTTCATTGCTGTGACAAAATACTCTGACCAATACCAACTTGGGGAGGAAAGGGTTTATTTATCTTACATCTACCAGGTCACAGTTCATCAAGGAGCCCAGGGTAGGAACTCAGGGCAGGAACCTGGAGGCAGGAGCTGGGGCACAGGCCATGGAGGAATGCTGCTTACTGCCTTGTTCCCTGGCCCTTGCTCAGCTTGCTCTCTTATCCAACACAGGCCCACCTGCCCAGGGGTGGCCCCACCCACATCACTCAACAATCAAGAAAATGCCCCACAGACATGGCCACAGGCCACTCCAATGGAGGCAATTCCCCAATTGAGGCTCCCTCAACCCAGGTGTATCAAGTTGACACTAAAGCTATCCAGCACAGTGAGTAAATATGCTTTCCAGCAAGCCTGACGGCCTGAGTTTGATCCACAGAACCTACATGGTGGAAGGAGAAAACCAACTGCCCCAAGTTGTCTTCTGACCTTCACACACACATGAAATAAGTAAATAAGTAAATAAATAAGATAAATAAATAAATGTAAGAAAACTTAAAAAGGAAAATACATAGAACTGCTGCTTGATTAAAATATTTTCTTATTAATTTTACAAGATATGGGACTTTGAGACAATAGATACTGCTGACATCATAGATGAAACTGGGTTGTTGGAGATTGAACCTATTAATGAGCTTCAAGTAGACAAGAATGTCAACCTCTTCTCAATGATAAAAATGAATGAAGTTGGAAATAACATTTGGTTGGCTCAGGTATGTTGTAGTCTTCTGTTTTGGCTTTTTAACTATTCTTGGACATAGGATTAAAATAGTATAATTGATCATCTGGAATGGAAGCCCACTTCACAGCATTATGGAATTGCTTTGCTTATTGTAGGTTTATGGTCTTTAAATACGTAGCAGTTATTTTAATGTAAGCATGCAATGTCATTGTTGATCCTCATTTTAACTAAATCACAAGAAGAAAAGTTTAAATTTGTGAAAGCTAAAACTGATAAAATATTATTGGCTGTTTGCTTTTTTTAGGATGCCAGTGGGGCCATATGGAAGCTCGACCTGAGTTTTTCAAATATTGTAAGTATGTATCTCATTTTCTCATAAATGCTGTAGTAAAATCTTTTTATTCTTTAAAAGACACTTCATCTTTCTTCACATTAGAGCATTGTTTCCATCAAATAACAAAAGGTCTATCTCATTATACATGAGATTTTTGTTTGCATTTATTTGCACAACGTTTCATTGTGTTGCTGAGTCAGCAGGCAGATAGATCTCATTTTACAGATGAAGGACTGGAAGCTGGCTTTTGAAGGGATTTGTGTGAAATCACACTTTAACTGTAGGGCCAGTACTCCATGTGGTTTTCCTAACTCCCAAGTCCCGTGCTCTTTCTAGCCTATCATGTTTTTTAAAAACTCTATTCAAGTAAAATCACACGTGTTATAGTATCCTATTTGTATTTCTTTAAAATAGACTTTAATTCTGTAATGCTGTCTCTTTGAGATTTGATGTGCTCTTTGTTCTCAGACCCAGGATCCAGAATGTCTCTTTTCTTTCCATTCCGGAGCTATTGAAGCCTTGGCTATTTCTCCTCTCACTTATCTCATGGCTACAACGGCCTTGGACTGTAAGTAGGAACACTGTGTGTGTGTGTGTGTGTGTGTGTGTGTGTGTGTGTGTGTGATGCATGCGTACATGTTCATGTATGTGGGTGTGTGTACACGTATGTTGAGATCAGAGGTTGACATCAGTGTCTTCCTCTATTGCTCTCCACCTTATTTTTTGAGACGGGGTCTCTTACTGAACCTGGAGCTCACCAGTTGGTTAGACTAGCTGGCCAACAAGCTCCAAGAATCTTTCTACCTTCTCAGCTCTGGGGTTACAGGCATGCACCACTATGCCCAGGTTTTTGAAAATTTATTTTGATTTATTTTATTTTATGTGGATGAGTGTATTGCCTGCATGTGTGTAAATGTACTCGTGTCATGCAGTGCCTGTGGAAGATAGAAGAGGGTGTTGGATCCCCTGGAACTAGAGTTATGGACAGTTTCCATGTGGGTACTGAGATTCAAACTAAGGTCTTCTGCAAAAGCAGCCAGTGCCCTTAACCACTGAACCATCTCTCCAGCTGTGTGCCAGCTTTTAGATGGGTGCTGGGGATACAAATACAGGTCCTCTGATTGTATAAAGACACTTTACCAACTGAGCCATTTCCCTACTCCTGTAAGTTCAAACTCTTACAGAAAAAAATTACCAGGCCTTGTTTCATTTTCAAGGTAAATTTTAAAAACCTTCTATTAAAAACATTTGAAATTTTTCTAAAAGGGAAGTCTCTTGAAAACAAGTAAGGTGAGCTATGGAGTGGAAAGTACTGGGATTAGAGGCATGTGTCACCACGCCTGGCACAAATAAAATTTCAAACGGCTGTTGAGCAATCAATTGATTTAGTTACTGCATTTCCTCTTTTGATACCCGACATGTAAAAAGTGAGCCAAGGTTATTTTAAGTGGTAATAAGTTTACGCTTTTTCTTTTAAAACTGTCTTTCTGTAGGCTCTGTTCGCGTCTATGATTTTGCTAGCAGAACTCCTTTGGCCCAGATGAAATTTAAGCGAGGTGGGACTTCACTCACTTGGGTACCGCAAACAGTAAGTTTATTGTTAAAATGCAGTCCTACCAGACGCGTTGGTAAATATGTTGTATTGGTGCTGTTTTGTGGAAACGTAGATATTTTCTGGCTTAGAATTTTAAAGAGTTAAAAGTTAGTTTAAGAATTTTTTAAGTTAGTTTATTTCTAGAACATGGTAGAAACCACCTCATGATCTCACTATTGTGGGTTCATCCTGTTTTTAATGAAAAATCTACTTTATCCCACCTATGGCATAGTAACTTGTCTTCATGAACTTTGTACTTTAGTTGGAGGAAGGCAGAGACAGATAATTAACTAAATGAATAAGTGAAATATGTATTCTGTCAGGTAGTGATAATAGCTATGGCAAAAAAAGGGGGGCAGGGATAGAGAATTCTTCTGGTTATTTACTACTGTAGTCAACTATCCCAGAGTGCAGTTTCAGAAAACAACAGATCTCTAATTTTACTCACATACTCTTTGTGTTGGAATTCAGACAGCTGACACTAGGAGTGAATTGTCTTTGCTCCCCATTGTCTAAGCCTCAGCTGGGAAGTCTTGAGTGGGACTTGGAATAATCCACAGACTTCTTTTTTTTTTTGCATTTAAAAAATTTTTTTTATGTGTATAAGTGTTTTGCCTGCATGTATATAAATGCACCCATGCTGTGCTATGCCTGCAGAGGCCAGAAAAGGGGTGTTGGAACTGGAGTTAAGGACAGCTATTAGCTGCCATGTGGGTGTTGGGAACTGAACCCAGGTCCTCTGGAAGAGCAGCTAGTGCTCTTAACTGATGAGCCATCTCTCCAGACCCTCCACAAATTTCTTGATCACAAGGCTGGCACAGGACTGTTTACCTAAGAGCTTTTCCATGTAACTGGGACTTTAGCTCAATCTGATGGACTTAGGGCAGACACACACGTCTCACAGGAGTGCAGGGTTTCAAGGGCTACTGTTCACATTAGAAACTGATGTTCTTCCAAGACCTAGCCTCATAAGTCAAAATCTCACTTCTATGATATTGCACTTGCTGACGTGGTCACACAGGCACACTCAAACCTGCTCTCCTCATTCTAGAGGAGGGACTTTAAACCTCAGCTTTTCAAAGAAGGCATTCCAAGGAATTTGCAACCATGCATTTTAAATGCCATAGGAATATTTTGTGAGTGATTCATCTTTATTGTTTTGGGTTGAAATCACAGAGAATATGTATCAGGCATGTCATAGATATGGCTTTTCATTACCATTTGGATAAAGACTACCCTTACTATACCTTGCAAGCTATCCTGTGACCTGGTGTCTGCCTATCTCGATCCCCAGCTCCTTGCTTCTGCACTCTAACTGCAATTCTTCCTTGAATTTTGATCTTCATTGACACAAGACCCTTTCACCTCCAGTCTCTAGGTTCTTGTCACACTTTCCTGTGTCTAGTTAATTCTAGCATATCCTTCCAATCTCAGCTCCACCATTCTTCCCTTGGGGAAACCCTCAATCTATATCAGCTTTCTTTGTTACATGTTCTCAGAGGACACATTTATTTCCTTTAGCACCTGTATCAGTTCATGTTCTATATTCATTTATGTGGGAATAGGGGACATTAAACTCTGAAACCAAGAACCCAGTCTATTTATGCTCACCATTAAGTTGCTGGTGATAGGTGCTTAGTATGTGGGAGGCAGAGACTATGTTCATGTTTGCTCACTGAAAATTTGAATTGACATTGTTTGCTCTTCTTGTGGTCTTTAATAGATAAATGCCCTAGAATTGATAGCAGTTGCCATAGCATAGTACAGAGATTTGCAGAGGGGGGCCAGTGTTAAGTTACCCAAGTCTAAATAAAATGTGGAGTTATTTTCTGTGTAGCACAAATTTCTAGAACTAAATTCGGGTCCTGTGCATTTGATTTTTTCCAAGGTCAGCTACTCTGGAGCACAAATAATCGTAGGATTCCAAGATGGTGTTGTTCGGATTCTTGAACTTTATGATTCAAAAGGGTTGACAGTTTTTGCAGGACGAAAGAAAGTTTTAGATGCTGAACTTCACTTGAAGCATGTCTTTAAACCCCATACTGCTGAAGTCACTGCTTTAGCTTATGAGCGTGTTGGAGAAATCCTAGCCACAGGGGTAGGTGCAAGACTTCTTTCTCATTTCCCATTAAAATTTTATGCTTTGCTTCCCTTTTAAATCCACCTGCTTGGTTGTGCCTTATTTACTGAAATCAATTCATATCGTGTTTTAATACTTTTTTTCAGTGTGGTCTGTACACAGTATTTAAAAACTGGTTTTGTAAATTAAATTTTGATGCTTATTTTAATGAATAGAAAAAACTTCAAATTGGGAATCGTGCTAGATATGTTATTCATAATCAATGTTTTACAGCATAAGTATGTTCTTAAGTAGAACTGCCATAGGAAAGATTTATAAGAGCTCTTACCTCGCGTGTAAGAGACTCTGGTTTGATCCTGTACCACCAAAAGCCAAATCAAATGAGCCCAATCAATACAAAACAAAAGCCTAGCATAGATGAAGGAAACAATTGTAAATTCTACAGGCATTCAGAGGTACATGCTCCACAGAGTATATGCACTATATACTCTGTATGATTTATTTTATTTATAGATATGGCATTCAAATTTTCAGAACCATAGACAGAAACACATGGGGAAAATAAAGCAAGGTTTTGAAATAATCTTTTCAGATTAATCTGGGATATATGACATGGTATGTAGAGTGTAAATTAGATATATTACATGACACCAAGTCTTTGTATTGCTTCATAGTAGCATATGCTGGATGGCTGTGTCTCTTTTTCCCTAGAGCAAAGATCAAACCGTCTTCTTTTTTGATGTGGAAAAGGATTACAAGCCAATTGGTTATATCAATACTCCTGGACCTGTTTGCCAATTGTCATGGTCTCCAGTTACTCATGTAAGTCATTAGTATTTGTCCTAAATGTGAAATCTCAGTGTCATAGCTAGAGAGCTTCTCCATCCTTGCTCTTCCATGTGAGGGTGGTGTTGAGCAGGAAGATGCTAGAAGCACAGGTGCTGATTCCCTGAGCTCTCAGCTGAGCACCAGTCTGAGCTCTGCATTCTACTTACCTCTTTCTTTCTCTTTCATACTCTGATTAGAAGGCCGCAATCTCCTCTCTGCACACAGGATTTGTCAGCTTTACCTCAAGAATGGCAACTTTTGGGGACTGGAGAGACGGCTCAGTGGTTGAGTGTACAGTGGTCTTGCAGAGGACCTGAGTTTGCCTCCCAGCACCCACATTGGGTGCCTCACAGCTGCTTATATCTCTAGCTCCAGTGGATTCAATACCCTCTTCTGGCCTCCATAAGTGTGTCACTTACATGTGCTTGTATACGTGTACACATACACACACACACACACAGACACACAGACACACAGAAATAAAAAAAAAAAACTCTTCAATAAAGAGTGGTGACTTCTGACCACACATGCGGCATGTCACATGTCAAGGCTGCTTTAACCTGAAGCAGTCAGTCATCCTCTGACAGCAAGCAGCTCCATTCTCAATTATGAGTATACTTTTCCTCCATTCCCAGTTCACCTGTTTTATTTTCTAGTTTTCTATTGCTTCTTTTTTAACAATTGGTTAGAAAATATCGATCATTGCATTCCTTCAGTATCTCTAACTCATTATGAGATTGGACACTTGGTCATCTGAGTACTGCCTGCCTAAATCAAGTGCTGTAATAGATATCAGGATAACAATTCTGATGAGCTGATGGAAGAGTTATCAGAATTATTGGGACATTTGTAATCTACTTTGAGCACCTCTAAAGAAAAGGCCTAAAAATTATAGTAGTTATTTCTGGAAGAATCCTTTTAAAACTAATTAACAAATACCCATCATTTCCATCTTTGCTAGACACTGGTGGATTCACTAAGCAGCAAAAGCAATCTTTGTTCTCAAGGAGTTAAAATATAAATCTGAAGAAAGCTAAATAAATCACCAAACAATTGATCTTGTCACAAAGGAATTGGTGACTGAAGTATCAGTGCTCTGTGTTGTGGCTTTACAGTGAGAACTAACAAGAAATGGAAAAGTTACAATACTTTTTTTTTTTTAATTTGGATTTTTTGAGACAAGGTCTCTCTGTATCCCTATGGAACTCACTATGTAGACCAGGCTGGCCTCAAACTCACAGAGATCTGCCTGCCTCTGTCTCCCAAGTGCTGGGATCAAAGGCATGCGCCACTATGCCAGATCTGTGTGTTTGCTTTTTTGGAGACAGGTCTTGCTGTAACCTGTAAGTGGCCTGAAACTTGCTTTGTAGACCAGGCTGGCCTTGATCCCTAGAGATCCATCTGTCTCTGCCTCCTGAGTTCTGTGATTAAAGGCCCAAGCTACCATGTCTGGCACAATATGTTGCTATATCACTGTACCTTAATTTAGAGGTATTAGTTGAGTATGGGCAGGTGGAACAGAGTTGAGTGGAGATGGTTCAGTGAAGGGAATTAGGGCTACAAAGAAACTCAGTGTGAAAGCATAGGTTCTTGTATGACAAGAGACAGCATTATGTATGTCAATCATTTTCCTGAACACAACATTGCAAAACACACCATCATTTAAAAGGGTCAGGGAGGTGGGCAGGCTGTGAGTAGATGTGGCTATAAAAGGGCAGATTGAGGGATATGTGTGTCAAGATAGCTTTGTGTTTTGATTTCTGTGATGATGACATGAATCTACATATGATAAATCTACATATGACAAATATATGAACTATACATGCATTTTGAGCTAATATTGATTTCCTGGTTTGGGTGTAACCCTGGTTAGGATGTAACCAATGGTAGAAATTTGGTGAAGGTTACATGATGCCTCTCTGTAATATCTTTTCAACGTTCTTTGGATCTGTAAGTATTTCAAAATCAGAAATTAAAATTTTTAAATGTAGACGTGCAAAATAAAACCAGCACGATTCAAACATTATTTCAAGCAGCTCTGTCAGCACTTATGTTCTATTAGTTGAGAACTGCTGACATCAAATAAAGCCACTCTATGTCATGGACATGCTGCGGACCTCTTTTGTTCAAAACAATAATTCTTGTCTCCTATAACCTTGACCCCTTGACTGTCTGAAAGCTTCAGCTTCTGCCAGCTGCTTTGAGTGGGGGATCATGATTCAACCCATCACAGCCTTTAAGAACTCAGTTGAAGAGTCAGGAACTCAGAGAGTCCATCACCTGACCTCAACCTTTCAACCTGCTCCTGCTCTAGGAGGCCGCCGATGACACAGACACCTGTTTCACTTACCATTCATTTTCTAATCAATCACCTCACTTCACTTCTTTCTTCATTCTCATACCCAGCTTACATTTCAGGATTCTTCCCTCAAATCCCTAAAGTGACAGTATATGGAGGTGGTGTCTTTGCGGAGTAATTATATTATAAAAGCTGAGCCATAAGGAATGGGTCTAGTGCCTTTTGAAGGAGTGAAGAGGCCAGAGCTTGCTTTCTCTGTGTTATAAAAATACAGTAAGACTGCCATCTACAAAACTTCAGGAATCATGCCCTGACCAGGCAGCACACCTGCCAGAGCTTTGCTCTTGGACTTCCCAGCCTCCAGAACTGTGAAAAATGCATTTGCTATGCTTTAAGGTATTCTTTTGCAGAAGCCTGAATTGGCAAAGACAAGTAAGAGCCCAATAGCATTCTTAATTCCACCTCTGAATTGCCACAGCTAATTTACATTTGCCTTCAGTGGTCAGCCAAGGACTGCAGAAGATAACATATGTGGAGGAAGATTATCTGCTCCTCTGTAATGCAGTGATTCAAATGAGTTCCACACCACCCTTGGGATGACTCTTATCAACTCTCTCCATACAAGATGGCCACTTTGAAACTTCAAAGCTTCAAGCTTCCCACTCTTACCCTTGGAGTCACTTCCTAGAAAGACTGGGTGCCTCAGGCAGAAACTATTTCATTTCTCACTACCAAATAGTCTTCTTTACCCCCATCTCCCTCCTGCTCCTCCTCCTTTTACAGTAGAGCAACTGTCTCTCCTACTTACCATCCATTCTGTCTCTCATCCTTTGGATGAGATTCCCCAGGCCTTTCTTCAATATTTTACACTGTTCATTTATTTTCTGTCACAGTGAATAATTTTCATTAGTGCTTAAATATGGTGTAGCCTCTCACACTTAAAAATGTAAATTCCTAGGTGTGTGCATGTGCATGCACACAGAGACATATACATGCAGAAGTAAATTCATAGGCATGCACACACACACACACACACACACACACACACACACCAGTCATAAATTCCTTCATCTTGTGTTCTGCAGCTCCTGCCCCATCTCTCGTCTCAGCTCTCATAAGGACTAATGGTTGTTCCTATGACACCATTGTCTCACATGCTGCCCCATCCTTCAGGTGCTCTACCTGCCTGCTAGCTCCCCATTCCACCAGGCAGCTCTTCAAAGGGATCACTAATATCCACTTAATATTTGATTCTTTTCTTTCTTGATATCTTAACATCTTTTGACCCTCTCAGCCTTGGCCTTTCCTTCCTTTTTGAAATATTTTCTCCTTCTAATGTTTTTTCCTGCTTCTCTTCATATCTTGTCAGTCCTTCACCCCCAGCCCCTGAGTGTTGTTTCGCTAGTGCTCTTCCCCAGTCTCTCTTTGCTTCTGTTCTTTTCCCCTAGACGATGCCGTCCAAGCACAACCTTCTTATAAGCCCCCAGCACACTTGCACATAGTGTTTCCTTTATACAGTATATTGCTCAAACTCTCCCTAATTCATTTTGTTCTCATCCTCCACCTGCAAGCTCAGATGCCCCTTTCTCAGGAAATCGTGCACAATTTGTCTGTTCTTGTGGTACTTTGGCAGGACTTTTGCAATTATAATTTGTATTAATCTATGTGAATTGCTAAATGACAGGCTGTTTCTTTGGAGGCAAATTTCACAATGGTAGAAAGGATATTTGCTTTTCTTAACATGTAACAAAATTCTGAATACATAGTAGATAAATAACAAATATATTACCATGGGGATTTCCCAGATGTGGTTTTGGAGCAGGAGAGAGTTCTGTGCTAGACAGATAAATCTGGTTGCATGTGAGTGGAAACTGAGGCTCTAAAACTTCCTGGAGCACAGTTACAGAAAGAGAAGAGGGGAAAAAGGCAGAGACTTTGAGAGCATCCACATTTGAATGGACTCCAGCAGACAGAGTATGTGTTGTCAAAGGAGGCTGAGAGCTGATAAACCATCCACACCTCGAATTTTCCACAGCATTTCTAACTAGAACATTTTGTCCTTTAGGATAGCGGATTTCACAACCACATATTTGGCTCAGGAAATATGTTATGGCATCTATAAAGGAACCAAATTTAAATCATATTTTAGTAATTGGTTAGCAATTAATACTTATATGATAATAATTAGTACTAATGATGTAATGATTACTAATAACTAGACTTGTTACCAATAATGCCAGTATTGTATTAGGTGTCCATTTTAAAATGATTACTGTATTTTCCCTGGCTTATTATCTCTTTTAACTATACTTGTAGAAGTTTGCCCACAGGTAAATGATATGCTTAAAATTTTCTTTTTCAGACTGAAAGTACTTTAATGATTATTTGTGAGAATGGTTATATTCTTGAAGCTCCATATCCACCCATTAAGGATGAAGAGGATCCCAGTGTTGTCTCCTATGAAATCCATAACTTGTGCATCAGATATTTCCATTTCTCAAGTATCAAATCTAAGATTGTGGTATGGAATGTTCTTGAAGCGTTGTCTCCTAATTTTTCTTTTCATTAGAATACAAAATGTCCTATATGAAATTCTGGCAGAATACAAAAAAGAATAAAACACATCCTGACCTGAAGGAACTTATACTCTAGTATGAAGGCAGCTAACTGTATTAGGAGGGACTGGTGGATAGGTACTACAGTCCAAGTCCAAAGAAGGAACTTCAGGGGCACGCAGAGGAGAAATGACGCTGATGGAGAAATGAGGGGTGGTCAAAAAATAGCTACATAGGAGTGACATTTAGTATTTAAAGGACAGGAAGAATCTTGAAACAATGAGATAATAATGCACAAAACATTCTTAAGGAGCCACATTTCTGAAGTTCTCAGTGTTTTCAGGAGATAAACAGCGGCTGGCAAAATGGCAGCATGCAGTTTGATGAGGAATGTGGCAGGAGTCTGATCACAGTGAGAGGCTCCTTGGAAGCCAGTTAAGTCATGTCAGTTTGGGCCATTGGGATCTCTTGTAAAAGAGGATTAATGTGATGAGGTCATATATACCAGGAAGCTAATTCTCAGGGATAAAGAGGTAAGGGTACAGGGTTGGGAATTGGACTACAAGTTGTTTCCAGTCTTACCGAAGCTGGAAACAACTTTGCTCATTGCCTATTTTAGTCCACGTGACTCCTAGATTGACATTGACAGGCTTTGAGAGAAAAAAGCACTTAACTTCTCTTACAGGAAAAAATGAGAAAATGATTTCTATAAAACTGCTATCAAGGGGGTTAGGCAGAAGTAATGGTCATTGCAGTGATTTGAATTTTAAGGAGAAAAATATTCTCCAAAGGGTGATTATGTGTAAATGGTACTGTTACATCAGAGTTGCGAATTTCCTAGAATTTATCTTCCTTCTGCAATCTTTGTCATGCTCAATAGCAGTTTTAAGCGTCTCTTTAATATCGCTTTTGAAAGAGATTAAAAGAAATTGAAAGGAGGGAGAAACAAAAGGCATTGAAGGAGAAGGAAAGAGAGCTCAGGTGGAAGAGGCTAGCAGGAGAGAGAGAAGAGGATGGGGAGAAGGAAGCCCTGGAGGAGGAGGGCGACAAGGAGGAAGAGGAGGAAGAGGTGCCACTACCTGAAATCTTCATTCCGCCAAGTCCCTCTCCTATCCTTTGTGGCTTTTACTCTGGACCAGGGACGTTCTGGGTTTCATTGGTGAGTAAAAACACAATAGCTTTACCTTGGTCCTATTCCAGTCTAGTGGACAGACATTTTTTTTACCACATTCTTTCATGTTCATGTGATGAGAATTTAATTTTTAACTACTCTTGTACTTGTAAGTTTTCATAGCTAAATATGTCTATATCTACATATTGTATCTGTTGTCACTTAATGACAAATCTACCTGTTCAGAAAGATCAAAGATGGAAGGAATCAAGAATAGAAGGGCAAAGGGCAAAGGAGTCTTCCAGTTGGGTCTACTTTTTAAGTTTAAGAATAGCTTTCATGGCAGCACTGCAATGGGATTCTGCTTTCACCTACACTGTGAGACATATGGAAGTCTAGGAATCTGCATGTTTTTAGATCATCTCATTGTCACTCCAAACCAAATTGGGACTTAGAAGATAAGGAAGAAGGAGAAAATAGATGTTACCAAGACAAATACCAGGAAGTGTCACGTGTATGTGTGGGTGGAGTAAGTCCTCTGCTTATGACTTATCTAGTCTTTTCATGAAACATTTTCTCAATCTATTACAAAGCAAGATTTCCTTCCTTATAGATGTCAGTGTTCAGTACTGCACAGATCTGCACACACATGTATACACACATACACACATAATTAACATATAATAATATGGAATGATCATTACTGCTTCATGATTGTCCCCAGTCTTTGGAGCGGTTAACTCACATATCCAAGGTCAGTTAAAAAGCACAAAATAGAGCTAGGACAAGAGCTGTGACAGTCTGGGTCCATAGCTCAATGCTCTTAGCCATTAACCCACATTACAAGTTTAAGGTGGAGATCGGAGAGGTAATAATAACCTTGTTTGATCCAGCAATAAGCCTATTCTATGCTCGTGGCCAAGCAGATGCTGTAGAAAAACTGACTTTATTTTGAAGTCATGATTGCAGTCCTGGTATCAGTTACTCACACTGTCAGTCAGTTCTACCCCCAGCTGTGTTCACCTTACAGATTATCATTCTATTTTCTCGCAAACATTTTTTGCATCTCCAGTGACACTCATCTCATTTCACAGGGAAGACAAAAGCAATCATGGAAATTGTCTATCTTTTTTCAACTCTGGCACCCTTCAGCAATCTGCCTGTGCTTTGCCTGTTATAATTGGTGGGTGTTACTTTGCAACTTTCCAAGAGCAGTGTTCTAAAAGGCTTCTTAATCCTTCTTCTCAAGCTCCCAGAGATTTTGCTTCTGAAGCAAACTACTTGATAGGCATAATCAGTTTCTGTCTTTTAATTTTCTTATTTACTTTAATTTATTTATTTTAATGTGTAAGGATGTTTTGCCTGCATGTCAATGCCTGTGGAGTCCAGAAGAGGGTAATAGAACTGGAGTTATAGACAGTTGTTAGCTACCATGTGCATGCTGGGAACCTAACCTGGGTCCTCTGCTAGAGTAGCCAGTGCTTTCAACTGCTGAGCCATCTCTTCAGGCCCATCTTCTGTCTTTTTAAACTCACTTCTTACCCTGAGCATATGAACTTCTGACCCTCACCCCATCTTTAGAGGAAACCCTGAAAACATTGTCTGGTGCCATTGACTCTTTCTACCTCCTAATTGATCTTCAACCCATTCCGTTGGGTTTTTATCTTCACCTCTTCATTTTTTCCAATGATTTCCATATTGCCAGGCTTAATTATCATCTTTGCTTGCAGATGACCCTCCTTCCTTAAAATAACTTGCTTTCTTCTCTTGGCTTCCAATACACTGTTATTGTAATTATTTTGTTGTACTGGGGATTGAACCCAGGGCCTCATGCATGCTAGACATACACTCTACCAGTAAGCTATGTCTTCACCTTCTCTTGCTTCCAATATGTCACACTCATTCTTCTCTGCCTCTTTTAATGGCTTCTTGTTTGTAGAACAGACTTTGCCAGAGTATGATCTAGGATCCCCTTTTTTCTTACTAAACTAACTTTATCCAATCTCATGACTTTAAATATTATCTATCAATAAGAGTCAAATATTGCTTTCTGACTTCTCCCTTCAATTTCAAATTTGATTGAACCCAGGGTCTCATACATGCTAAGTAGTGCTGTGTCACAGAGCTACATCCTCAGTTCCCAAAACATGACTTATAAACCACATTGAACCCATGTAAAACTGATATATTTTCATCACAGTAAATAAGACAGTGTCCATTCACATACAAGGCCAAACCTCAGGAGTTACTAAGGATTCTTCTGTTTTCATCATCCTTTGATAGCCTTATAGCAAAAGTGTGTTCTTATAAGCAAACATCACATGGTTTGGATTTGTTTAAATCCTGTAGGATAATCTTCGTCTTTAATAAAACACTACATCCCTTTGCATTTAATATAATTACTGACATATTTTACCTTTAATCCCCAATCTTGTTATTTCTTTTTTATTATTTTATTTTTTATATGTATGAATGTATTCCCTCCATGTATGTAAGTGCACACATGTCATGCAGTGCCCTTGGAGGTCAGAAGAGGGTGTCGGATCCCCTGGAACTGGAGTTACAGATGGTTGTTAGCTGCCATATGGGTGCTGGGAACCCAACCCAGGTCCTCTGCAACAGCAGCCAGTGCTCTTAACGGCTGAGGCATCTCTCCAGCCCCCTTACTAGTTGTTCCTACTTTATCAATTCTATATTCCTTTTTTTCCTTTCTTATCCATTGGAAGCTTGGAAGATTTTCCTCTTCTATGTGGTTATTAGTTATGCCTTCTTTTGCTATTCTTTTAGAGGTGATTTCAAAGATTATAATATACATTTGACTTAATATAATTTGATATAAATTTATTCTTTTGATAGTTCCAGAGGAAAAAAATCGTACAAAACTTTAAAACTTTAACATCATGTATCCTCCCCACTGTTGTTACATATTTTAAATCCATCCATTTATGTATCTATGTATCTATCATCTATCTATCTATCAATCATCTATCTATCTATCTATCTATCTATCTATCTATCTATCTATCTATCTATATTTCCTATCTATCATCTATCTATCTATCTATCTATCTATCTATCTATCTATCTATCTATCTATCTATCTATTATCTATCATCTATCTATATATCAATCATTTATCTATCATCTATCTATCTATCATCTATCTATCTATCTATATCTATCTATCTATTTATCTATCTATCTATCTATCTATGTATCTATCTACCTATCATCTATCTATCATCTATAATCTATCTATATCTATCTATATCTATCATCTATCTATCTATCTATCTATCTATCTCTATCTATCTATCTATCTATCTATCTACCTCTCTATCATCTATATCTATGTATCTATCTATGTATCTATCTACCTATCATCTATCAATCATCTATCTATCTATCTATCATCTATCTATCTATCTATCTATCTATCTATCTATCTATCTATCATCTATCATCTATCGTGTGTGTATGGGTTTATGTGTGCCATGATGTGCTTGCGGAGGTCAGAAGACAATTTTCAGGAGTCATTGCTCTCCTTCCACTTTGTTGAGACAGGGTCTGTCTTGTTTCTGCCACTCTGCTGACCCCAGACCACCCCCTCTCCCTGCTGCCCTGCATATAGGAGCACTGGGATTACAGTCACAAGCCTACCACATCTGCCTTTTTGTGGGCTTTAGGGATTTAACTCAGATTATGAGGCTTGCATAGCAAGCACTTTTATCCACTGAGCCATTTTGTCAACTCGTATTTTATTTTTATATATTTTTATTCTCAGAAAATCTTTTATTGTTGTTTTAAATTGTCAGTATCACTTTGGTTCTTTCTCTTGCTGTTAATTCCTTTCTATATACTTGTAACTTCATCTTTTGCTTGAAAATATAGCCTTTAAATTTTTTAGTGTAGTTTTGCTGATAATAAATTCTATTTTATTTTTTTAGATGAAACTATCTTTCTCTTCCTCCAGACCTTTTTGCCATCTTTGACCTTCTATTCAGCCAGCTCCATTCCTACACTCCTCACCCCCCTTTATGTGAGGCCACTGTAACTTCTTTCTATGGATAGTTTTGACATACTTTTACTCAGTCTGGAAAAACATCTCAGCCATTATCAACTGTATTATTGTTGATGGCCCACTTTGCACTTTTCTTCAGGGATTCCAATTTCATGAGCATCAAATCCTCTGTACTCTGTTCCATATGTATCTTAAGTATGTTTTAATCCTTTCTTCATGATTTAGCTTATTTCTTATCTCTGTTCTAATTCCTTAACTCTCTCTTTCTAAACTTTGTTTTGACAATTTAAAAATGTGACAAAATACACATAAAGTTCACCATCTTGACCATTTTACGTGTAACAGTAAGTTCTAATAAATATATTTGCAATGTTGTACAACTATCACTACTACTGATTTCCATAATCTCTCTATACCCATAACACTGCATTTTATACCCGTCAGCCAGTGACTCTACCTCCCCCTTCCCTCCTGCTCCTGGCAGTTCTCACTGTACTCCCTGACTCTATGATCACTACTTTCTTACATGAATGGAATCATATGTATTTGTGGCCAACTTATTTCACTCAGCATAATGTTCTCCAAGTTCATCCATGCCACAGAATATGTCAGAACAGCCTTCCTTTTCAAGAATATTACTTGATTGTAAATATTTATACCACATTTTGATCATCCACTCAAACATTGATGGACATCTGCCAGCCCTCACAGTCCTTCCATTCCCTCTCCCAGAATTTTCCCTTAGCTTTGTCTAGAGAAACGTTGAGATAGTTGATTCGTGCATAGCTGCACACTAACAGTTACTGTACTCAGCACTTTGACCAGCTTTGAGTCTCTGCATTAACCACTACCCACTGCATAAAAAAGTCTCTATGACCAAAGTAGAAAGCAATTCCAGTGTATGGGTATGAACATAAATGTTTAGAAAGCAGTTTGACAGCATGACCATTTAGCAAAATAACAGCAGTAGGTTCCCCTCTAAGGTCTATGGTCTCCCCAGTCATGGTGCTCTAGGTCTTCAACAGAGAGTCCAGTAGAAATGGCCCTTTCCGCTTGGGAGGGAAACAGTTTGCCTTTAATTAAACCAGGAGACTGCAGCTAGATCTGCTCAGCTCCTTCAGAGAGAAAAACAGAGCCAAATGCCAGGCCCACATTGTTGTTCCCTCTGTTCTAGGTCTTACCATCTTGGCAGCACCCCAATGCTTTTAAAAATGTTTTTCAAAATAAAATTTTCTTGTAGTTATTCTCAGTGGGCAAATTCAGCTGAAATAAAAATAATCTAATCTGCCATTGCCCAAAGGGAAACTTAGTCACTTGATTTTCAGAGGTGATCACTTTGTCATTTTCTCTCTTTATTTACTTATTTATTTCTCATAAATATGTTCAGACATTTATTTTATTTCCCCTAATAAGCATTCTGGTCTATTTAGAGAAAGAAAGCAAGTCAGAATTAGAACAGTATCACTGTTCCAAATGATCACTAGTCTTCTCACCATGTAAGATTAAATTTTCCCTAAATGATCTTTCCTCAAAAATTAATAGTGCTTAAAGTTATCCCAGACTGAAAGGTAATTGTGAAAACAATGATCTGCAAAGCCTATTATTTTTAAATACTGTTCATGCCTAATAACACTTCAAGTAATAAGATAGAATTCATTAGGTATTCAGAGGTGAAATCTCTCTTATGTTGACTTCAAAGTAAAAACTAATCATCATGAAGTAATTATTATTAAAATTATATAGATGCATATTAATGGACAATGGAGATTTAAATTTATTTATTTATTAATGTTTGTATGTGTATGAGTGTTTTGCTTGCATGTTTGTATGTGCACCTGTGCATGCAATGCCCGTGGAGGCCAGAAGATGCACTTGTACCTCTGGAACTAGAGTTATGGATGGTTATTCACTGCCATGTGGGTGCTGGGAACCAAACCCTCTTCAAGGGCAGTCATTCTCATGGAACAGCAGAACAGGAGTAGTAGAGAATACTAATGCATCCCTCAACTCTCACCAGCAAAGCTTTCTCATACAACAGAGTGTGATGCACACAGAAGGCCACAACTGGCTATGTTTTAGAAAATAAGAGACTGCAGAGTATGTGTCCTAGATAGGACTCCTATACTAAACCTCGCCCACACATGGCTCAGGGACCATTGTGGAAAAGGGGATAGAAAGATCGTAAGAGCCAGGGGTGAGGCATGAACATAAGGAAATAGGCTTTTGGGTCTCTGAGAACTTGTTCATGAACTTACAACAATGGTGACAGTATGCACAAGACCCATGCTGACTCAATCAGACAAAACCTCAGCATAGAACTGGGGAAATGGGCAGCAGGCCCCAAAACTAGCCAAGGAACTATTGGCAAATGATTACTGTGGGGTGAGGGGGAGTAGCTCTTCCTTAAGGGAGTGACTCTAGATAGGCTGACAAGAATTCAGTGGATGAACTTCCACCGAGGAACATCTGGGATATAAATGCTCGACTAGCTAGGACTTAACATATATGACAGAATACCTGAAATCTGGTGGGGGAGGGGAGTATGCAGGGCAGGGAGGGAGAGGGAGGGAATCCAAATTTGATGTATTATATGAACTTCACAAAAACTCAATAAAAAATTTTTGTCAGGAAAAAAAAGCAGCATTGCTCTTAACTGTTGAGCCATCTCTTCAGTCCTGGAGATGTTTTATGGTAGTAAAAACTACCTTTAGTCATAGGAATCATATAGCAGTAAATGTTTTTAAGCATCTACTTTGGGTTTTAAATTTGAGATGATCAACAAAACTTCAAATAATCATGTTTGTACTATTAATTCAAAAATTGCTTTTTGTGCTTTTTATCTCCCAGGGCAGCTATGATTCTGGTTTTCTGTATCACTGTGAATTTCCTCCATATGTGGAAAAATGTGATTTCCAAAACCAGGAAAATGAACCATTTGATTTCTGTTTTCTTGAGGATACAGATGATAACCCTGTCCAAACAATCATTTTCAGGTGAACAGAACCTCAGAAAATGTTTTCGTGTCTCTATTTTTATGTATCATGGATATCTTAACTTCTTTTTCTGTTTCTGTAATAAAACACCCTGACAAAAGCAGCTTAAGAGAGGAAAGGGTTTATTTTAGCTCATAGTTCAAGGTACAGCCCATCATAGTCGGGGAGTCACAGCAGCAGGAGCTTGATGCAGCTGGTCACATTATATCCCCAGTCAGAAGCGAGCCATGATACACACTAGTGTTCAGATCACTTCTTTCATTTTATACAGTCCAGGATCCCTTGCTCAGGGACAGTTCTTGCCCACAATTCCTGGGTTTTCCCTCTTTGATTAAAGTAAACATAATCTCTCACAGGCACACCCCAGACCCATCTCCTCGGTAATTCCAAATCTTATCAAGTAGACAGTTAACTCCAATCATCACAATTGGGATTGCCAGTTTTTGCTGTTCAAGCAAAGGGAAACTCAAATGAGACTCAAGTAATTAAGTCAAATGAACAAATAGAATAAAAGTTAGGCATGGTCTTGAAATTATATTTAAATCCTTCAGATTTTGTGTCAGAATTTCTGTTTATCATATTAGTAACCTTCTGTTACTTAGAAAGATGGGACTGCATGGTCAGATAATAAAGGACCAGTTTACACTGATTCTAGAGAAACTATAAATTGATTCACTATCCCTTTAATAACTGAGAACTGAGCACAAATGCCAGTCATTCTGAGGACCAGAGTCTACCTCCATTTTTCAATTTGGCTTTCATTTCCTATCTTTTTGTATTAGTTTACTAGTGTTACCATGACAGAGTATCCCATAATGAGTAGCTTAAACAGCATTTATTTATTTTCTCATGGTCTAGAGACCAGAGTTAGAAGGTCAAGGTGTTGACAAATTTGATTTCATGAGGTCTTTTTCCTTGGCTTGCTGCCTTCTTGCTGTGCCCTAGGCTGGTCTTCCCCAAGTGTATGATATTCCAGATGTCTGTCTGTAGTTTAATCTCTGTCTTCATAAGCTCTCGAGTCAGGATGGATTAGGAGCCATCCTTATGGTCTCATTTCAACTTCACTACCTCTTTAAAGGTCCCTATCTTGCAATATAGCTACATTCTTTGGTGTATGGGGTTAGGACCTTGAGCATATACATTTTGGAGGTATAAAATTCAGTTCATAATAGAGTTCTTATTTAAAGTTAAACATTACTAGATCAGTGGAATGGCTCAGCAGGTAAAGCCACCCTCACCAAGTCTGATACCCTGAGTTCAAACCTCATGACCCACATGGTGGATGACCAACTCCCACACATACAAAATAAATAAATAAAATTTTTAACAATTAAACATTATTTTCCAGCTTATGAAAATACACTTTATTCTTTTTGTCTCATAGTGTTAACCAAACTATGATGTTTTGTGGAATGAGAAATGGAGCAATTCGAGTTTATCTCCTAAGTCAGAATGATCTTTCATTGAACAGTTTGCAAGACTACTGGCATTTCAATGTGCATGACAATGATTATGGGTGTATTAAAAGCATCTCCACTAGCTTTGATGACCAGTTCTTGGTGACTGCTGGGGCAGATGGTAATATCTTTGTTTTCAGCATTTATTCTGAATTTATGTTAAAGAGAGAATTCAAAGCCAAAGTGCCATCTCCCAGGGTATGTAACTAATTAATAAATTAACTAATAACAGTAGCAAACTTTATTTTAAAATAAGGATGTAAAACTACTCAAATTCTTTAAATATTGAGAATTACTTAGGTGTATTAATCTAATAATATAATCTTTTAGATAATATATTTAATCTATAACACCTGTAGCCTATATTATACCTTTATAATCTAATCTTCCTACAATATTATACTTTTGACTTCCTGGTGTTTCTATATCAAATATTAATGGCATTGAACTCATTATTATTAAAGGTATACAGCGCCCCACATTTAAGAGGGTTATGTCAGTTTTTATCAGTCACTTTCTTAAAGGTTCTATTTTTCTCTAAAACGTACAATATTTCTCAGGTATATATTTTGTTTTCCAATCATTCATTCATTATAGATGCTTATAATTACTATGTACACCACAAGGTGTGCTTTTGAAAAAGGCTAAAAAATATTAATGGCTTTAGTATTGCAATGTAATAATGAGGGTTGTGGTAAAATATTCAGTGTAAATTATTCCATTCTCCTTTAAAATATATTTTTATTTTACGTGTATGAGTGTACTGCTGCATGTATGTGAATGCACCCATGTTGTGTGCAGTGCCCTCAGAGGTCAGAAGAGGATCCAGATCCCCTATGCCCTCAGAGGTCAGAAGAGGATGCCAGATCCCCTAGAACTGGAGTTATGGATGATTATTAGATGCCATGTGGGTGCTGCAAACAAAACCTGGGTCCTCTGCAAGAACAGCCAGGGCTCTTAACTGCTGTACCAGCTCTCCAGCCTCAAAGTATTCTATTCTTAGGCAGAATAGAATATTGGCTTTGTGATGAAATTTGGGAGTTCACATCCTCACATTATATCCTTTTGTCTTGTCACAGAACTAGAATTTTCTTTTACCAAAGTGGTTCCTTTGGATGAAGTCACTATTTAATAACCATTAGAATTGCTCCCAAACACTATGGAGTTATATTAGCAAGACCATAGTTAAAATCCCTAAGAACATATTACTTCCCATTTAACAGACAGCTTGCCTCAAAAGAACACACCAAGAATGTAAGGGAGATAGGAGCAGGTTCATTTTCATTTCAGTAACAACATAAATTGTTGTATGGGCCAATGTTTAAAAATAGTCCAGCTCTAAGCAAAGAATTACCAATAGGAACACACATAAGCAAGAAGAAAAGCTTTGTTTTTCTACCTTGTGCCAGCCCTGTCCATACAAATCTGTCACACCCAGCCCATTTTGGTTTTTTATGCCTACATTTTCACTTTGCTGAATGTGTTATATTTAAGATTTATTGTAACTTAATTTTTTAAAGATTATTTATTTATTTACTTATTGCTTGTATGTAAGTGCACCTGTGTGTGCAATGCCCTTGAGGGCCAGAAGAAGGCATCAGATCTCCTGACACTGGAGTTGAGGACAGTTGTTGGCCACTATGCGGGCGTTGGGAACTGAACCTGGGTCCTCTAAAAGAGCAGTGTTCTTAACCACTGAGCCATCTCTCCAGCACCATGACTGTTCATTTTTAATTTTTCACCCATTCATGTTGCTGTGGTGATGTGTAGTCTGTTACTACTTGTGGCTGCAAAGGATTCTGGTAGGTTTCCACTTCTTCCCATCCACACCCCACTGGTATTCACCCACATTGCTTCTAGATCCCCAACACTACAGTCCTGTGGTGGTCATTTTTTCCCACATCCCTGTGGACCTGTGTGGGAATTTACCTGGGGTTAAAAAACTTTCTAGTCTCTGAGATAAGTATTATAGATTGTATTACTTCTGTGTTTTGGCATAATAGATATTTTTGCATAAAAGAAAAAAAAACAAGTGCTTTGTGTAATGTATTGACTATAACAATGGACAGAAACAATTCATATGAATGACAGAGAAGTACTATAGATTGTATTACTTCTGTGTTTTGGCATAATAGATATTTTTGCATAAAAGAAAAAAAACAAGTAAAAAAAATCTGTATCAGACAGGAGATAATCATTCCATAATTTGGATAACATGCCTTTTATATATGGCTGTTGTCTCTCTCCTCCCTCCTCTCATCCCTTATCCCATATCCAAGGTTCATCTTGAACTCACAAACCTCCTGCTTTAGCCAACAGAATGCTAGAATTACAGATGTATATCTCCATACCTGGCCCTGCGATCAATATTTCTTAAATCATTGAAACAGACTATGCTTTAAAGAAGACAAAATAATAAAGAATTGATATTTTTTAAAAAAATCAGTTAAGTTCTGCAAAAGGTCTAGCTAGGGCTCTCCACTTTAGAGTCTTTGGGGGAACACTTTGAAGTGCAGATACTGGGTCTGCACCCAGGATCAATTAAATTAGAATCTCAGCAGGGAAGGACTGGGTGTCAGTATCTTATAAAATGTCCCTCTGGCTCTACCATATAGCCAGGACTGAAATCCTCTGGCATGTATTTTGGAACTGTATTGTAAATACCTGTGGTCAGGAGATAATTGACTGAATTTCTGTATAGAACTTTGGCACACTAGTATCAGAGCACTAAGGAAAAAAAATTGTCAAACTTATATTTTGCATGATTTAGAATAAATAGAATTTCTTAACTGTCTCTGTCTCTTATCTTGGTCATGCATGTGACTTCACTTTTGCTAAAAGAATCTTAAATTCAGGGCTAGAGAGATGGCTCAGCGGTTAAGAACACTGGTTGTTCTTGCAGAAGGCCCAGGTTTGAATCCCAGCACCCACATGGCAGCTAACAACTGTCTATTACTCCAGTCCCAGGGGATCCGACAGCCTCTTTTGGCCTCCACGGGCATTGCACAACACGGGTGTACTTACCTACATGCAGGCAATACATGTAAAATAAAAATAACAAATAAAGTAAAAAAAAAAAAGAATCTTAAGTTCCATAAAAGATATGTGGATTTTTATTTCATATGAGTAAACTCTATATACTTATATTTTATACATAAGAATACTTTAAACAACTTTTCAAAAGAGAGAGTCTTCATTTCTTTATTCAGAATGTCAGAAAAATGGACTCATTTATTGTGAAAGACAATGGAGAAATTTAGTTTTATTTAAGAACTGATTAGTTAGCAAACTTGTGCTCTTTGTTTGGTGGGTAAGGAATCCTCATCCTTAACGTCATAGACTAATATATTATACCACACAGCACCTGAACACGCAGAACACGGTAAGTGGTTTCTTTCAGGGCTCCTCTCCATCGAAGCTGGCTTCCTTTCTGAAGGGAGATTTGCTTTTCTTATTTTATGTCTTTCTCTTGGAGTAAGGGGATTATATTATTTTGTGCATTTTCCACTTTAAGTCTTTTGCTCTGTAGGTCATATTGAATTTTTGCATACGTAAACTTCCTATGATACATAGAAGATGTTTGGTTGGAATTATGTAATAAAAGATACACAGAAAAACCACATTTTGAAATAAATAATCTAGAGTGTTTCTGTGCATATTGTCTCTCTTTTTAAAATTTTATGTATATTTTTATTGAGTTTTTGTGCATTTCATACAATAGATCCATCTACATCCCTCCATAACCCCCCCCCACACACACACACACTAGATTTCATTCATTCTGTCATATATGTTAAAAGCCTATCTGGTCAAGCTTTTGTACCCAGATATATCCCTCAGTGCAAGTTCATCTACTGGAATCTGGTCAGCCTTTCTAGAGTCTTTCCCTTAAAGAAAATCAACTCTCCCTCACCCAGCAGTAATCAGTTGCAAATAGTTCCTTAGCTAAGGTTGGGGCCTGCTGCCCAGTTCCACAGTTCTATGCTGAGATTTTGTCTGATTGAGTCAGCATGGATCTTATACATGCTGTCATCATTGTTGCAAGTTCATGTGAGCTAGTTCCCAGAGGCCTCTGGTGCATGAACACAAGGTATGTTCAATTTTAATAGCACATGTATTAATAACTCATGAGAATCAGTAATTAACAGTTTGAGGGTAGATTTGTGGTGATATTGACATTTGGAAATGTATGATTAGGTTTTAAGACTTTTTTGACTTGTCCCTTTAAATGAAGCAGAAGCAAATAATTTTAGTCAATTGAAAAATTTCCCCTAGCTTATGTGAAACCACTTTTCAGACCTACAGCTGTTAGAAATTGGTAGGAAAAAAAACCCCTTCAATTTACTTCTAGATCCTTTAAAGGAAATATACAATTATAAAGATTTTTTTCTTCCTCTTCCTACAGTTTGGAATTGAATTAGAGCCAATTCCAGAAGATATTGAAGATCCCAAAGCCTATAGGTATGGCACTTTTTGAGAAGTATTGTTGATGCCTGAGATTTTGCAAAGCAAACCAACATTTTGCAGGTGCTGAGCAAACCAAACGAAGTTCTAAAATGAAATTCCAGATGAAGTTATCGAATACCAGCTCTCTCCTCTGCTGCAGTCTAAATGTCGTCCTTTTATGCTTCTGCTTTCAGTATTGAGAACGCCAGGAGGAAAAGGGAACAGGACAAGTTAATGAAAGAAGCTGAAGAAGTCAAAGCTCGCAAGAGAGAGCAAATTAAAGCCTTGAGGGACGAATTTTGGAAATTGTTAGCAATGAATAAAGAATTACCAAAGCACATGCAGTTTAAACAGACTGTAAGTCTAAATAAACCACTTCCATTTTAACGTGTTATTTCTGGATGGAGACTAACACTTTGCCCATAACAAGGAACACTGACAGTCATCTTTAAGCCTTTTACCTCGTCAGTCATATTTGCATCAACTCAGTTACTATGAAATGACACAATTGGTCACGGAAGCAGATAAACCTATATAATACAAAGTTGATTGCGAGACTTAGCTACTCTATCTTGTGATTTTTCTCTTTGTAACAAGACGCAGTAGAAATAGAGGTTGTTGCCAGGTGTGCTTGTCCCAGACCTTTAATCCTAGCAGTTAAGAGGCAGAGGTAGGTAGATCTCTTGTGAGTTCCACTCTAGCAGGCTGCATAGTGAGACCCTGTTTCAAAACAAACAAGCAAACAAAACAACAAAACCAGGTTGCAATCTGGTTTAATCTGTTGGGTATGAACATGTACAATTTGATTCTCTGTCATTCTATTTTTATAATTCATCATATACACTGGAAGAAAGTTCCTGGGCTGACCCACAAAGCTTCAAGAAGATGATTTAATATAGCTGTAGCTGTGGGGACCATCACAAAAGTATTTTCTTATATCCTACTGTGAAACCTTATGTACCTACTAGTGATGTAGGTTTTTATTTTATTTTTTTCATTTCATTTTTAGCCTCTTCCTAAACAGAATTATTGATAAAGTCTCATCAAGGGGTAGAGGAGACACACATAGACTCTTATTAGGTAAGAAACCAGAATTTGTTACTAGAAAGATGACTCAGCAGTTAAGAGCACTGGCTACTCTTGCAGAGGACCTGGGTTTGGTTCCCTACGTGAGAGCTAAACCAACCATCTGTAACTCTAGTTCCAGGGGATCCATTGCCCTTTCTGGCCTCCACAGACATTATGTACACGTGGTACACTTACATGCATGTAGGCAAAACATTCATAACATTTAAAATAAATAATTTTAAGGCAGAACTTGTTATTCTAAATATACTCATCCTAAATATGACAACCTAAATATAAAGTTACCCAATCCTGTAACTGTAGAAGTAATCTCCCAATTTCACATGAAATGTTTCATGAAATCATAAAGGTTAACTGACTGTGTTGGTTACATGAAAACATTATTTTACTAAGAAAAAAGTTGATAGTTCTGGAATACAAGTGACAAACTGAAGACAAACAGCTGAAGCAAGTAGCTGTGTTGCTGTGCAAAGCACGTGTCATTCCTGGAGACAGAGACGCCTCCGGTAGAATGGTTTCTGCTCACAATTGAGTGAGAATGGGGCTCTGGCATTTCTCAGGGTGAAGCTAAGAAACACAAGGCCTATAAGAATCCTCCCCCGGCCCCCACTTTTTATTTTTTAGACAGGGTCTCCCTGTAGCCCCAGCTTGCCTGGAATTCACTAAGTAGACCAGGCTAGCCTTGATCTCACAGAGATCTGCCTGCCTCTGCGTCCTGAGTACTGGGATTAAAGTTGTGCACCACCAGGCCTAACCCATACAGAGCTCTCTTTGAGGGCCACCAGGATGGCTCAGCTGGGAAAGGTGCTTGCTGCCAAGTTTGACAACCTGGGTTGGAATCCCGAGATTGATCCACATGGTGGTAGGAGAGAACCCACTCCAAGTTGTCCACACATTCTAAGTCTCTCTCTCTCTCTCTCTCTCTCTCTCTCTCTCTCTCTCTCTCAAAATAAATAAATAAATAAAATTTAAAAGGTAAGAGCCCCCTTTTTTATAAACAAATCTACTCATTTGCAGGATTTTGATATTGATGCCAAAATTCGTGCTGATATCAGTAGGAAAACAGTTCACAAAATCCAACAAGTGGAAAAGGAATTAGCTTGGGAAAAACAGAAATATGAACTTGGCCTGAAGAAGCTTCAGAACAGGTATGGTCCATCTTTCCTTGTGAGCAGATGTGAGGTATTCTCAAGAACCCACTGAGCTGACATCACATGTGGTCCTCTTGTGACTGCTGTGTCATCCTGGGCTTTCTGCTGATTCCCTCCTGTTGTGTGTTGGGAATTTGGGTAACAACTAGATTTTTAAATTTTATGTAATGGGTATTTATGTTCTGTTTTGACAAATTATTTTATACAAAATTAAAACATGAGCATTAATATACACATTTCAAAAATCAAATATAGTCAAAGCACTTAGAGTAAAAGACAACAAGTCCTGTCAAATACTTTTCATGCATCAACTCAACTTCCCAGAGGTAATCACTTTTTTTGTCTTTTATTGAGATATAACTTACATAGAGTGAAGTGCATAAATCTTAATAGAATAGCCTAATACTTTCTCTCTTAAAATGATTTAGCTTTATCTGTATGAATGTTCTGCCTGGATGTGTGTAAGTGCACCATGTGTGCACAATGCCCATGCAGGCCAGAAGAGGGCAATGGATCCCCTGGAACTGGAGTTAAAGATGATTGTTAGCTGCATGTGGGTGTTGGGAACTGAACCCAGGTCTTCTGCAAGAGCAGCCAGTGCTCTTAACTGCTGAGCCACCACTCCAGCCCCCTTAGTACTTTCTAACGTGCATCAATACATATGTCTAACTAATCAAGTTAAGTTACAGACATTTATATGATCTCCTTTCAGTGACCACCTTCTCTCCAGTGCTGAATCTTTACTGTCATAGATTAGTTTTATCTGTGACCTTCATATAAATAGTATGTTAAGTGTCATTTTTTTGTGGCATCTGGTGTATTTTACTCATATGTCATGTTAGATGATCCATATTTCTGCATGTAGCAGTCCATTCATAGTCATGTCTTATCAACACCCCATTTAAATGGTTATACTGAAGTTCATCCACTCTTTTTTTTTTTAGAAAAAGATTTATTTTAAATTATGTGTATCTGTGTATGTCTGTGTGTGGTTACATAGGGTGCCCATGGAGCCCAGAAGAAGGCATTAGATTCCCAGGAGCTAGAGTCACTGGAGGTTGTGAGCCACCTGATGTGGGTGCTAGGAACCAAACTCCAGTCCTCTGCAAGAGCCAGTGCTCTTAACCACTGAGCCCTCTCTCCACCCCCCAAAATCCATCTGATCTATTGTTAGGCATTTGAGTGACTTCTACTTTTGGGCTACTATACATAATGCTGCTTTGAATTTTGTGGCATATGATTTGTATGTGTGTGTGTGTGTATGTGTGTGTGTGTGTGCATGTGTGTGTGTGTGTGCTCGCGTGCGTACACGCATAGCTATACTTTATTTATATTAACTTAAATTTCACTCTGGGCTCATGGTTTATCAAGAAGACAAGAGCGTCCATCCCGGTACTGCTGAGGATCTCAGCTTGCTTGCTTCTTTCTAGTCTTTGATTTTATGGTCTGTGCTCTATGGGGCAGACAATCTCTGGTGAATTCAGAAGCCTCTGCACCCTGGATCCAGTATACCCGCGGCCATCATTTTTGAGGCCTTGCTATACCCCCAGATACTGTGTGAAGGAGGGACAAGCAGCCCTCAGATCTAGGACTCAGTTTTCCTGCCCTCCTCTAGTCAGGAGGAATCTCTCCTTCGCACTCTGTTTGCTCTCAAATACTTTTCTTAATTCTGTTTTGCCTCCATATTGCACACACCCTCCATCCACCGTGGCATCATTTTTCAGTGGACATATGGAAGGAAAAAATAAGTTCCTAGCAACCTGATTGGAATTGGACAGGATAAACTAAGTAGCTCTGGATATTACCAGTGTTCACATTCGCCAATCTAAGATACAAATGTGATAACTCTTGGTTGAATGACTTCACTACCTTTTATTATAGGTAAAGTTAGCATTTCTTTTCATACTTATAGTTACCTGCTTAGACTCCCTGTTCATTTCTCTTTGTAGTTTATATTTCCCCTTTGTTTTTAGTTTAGTTCCTACTTCTGTATTAGAAATATCTGTTTTTACTATACATATTATAAATGCTTTTTCCTATTCTGACATTTACTATAAACTAGGTTCCTTTTGTTTTAACTATACAGAAGCTATAATTTTGATATTCTTATTTTTTCTTTGTTATCTGAGTTTCATAAGAGGACTAAATTTCAAGAGGAAAACTTCAGTGGGTAAAAGTTAAAAGGGTTATGCTGGTCATGATGGCACATGCTTTTAATCACAGCACTCAGGAGGCAGAGGCAGGTGGATCTCCATGAGATCAAGGTCAGCCTGGTCTAAACAGCAAATTCTAGGCTAGCTAGGGCTATAGGGAGACCCTGTATCAACAATAGCAGCAATGACAACAACAACAACAACAACAAGAAGTTAGAAGGTTAAACAGATGATAAAGATATGTATGGAAAAAAGAAAACTGAATATAAACAGTAAATGGTTTTGAATCATAAAAATAAGCTAACAAGCTAGGAATATATTTGTGTACACACACATATTTCTAAAACTGTAAGTGTGGTAAGGTGTGGGGGCTAATTATTTGGCGGGGGGGGAAGAAAGGGTTTATTCGGCTTATATCTCCCGCATCACTGCTCATCAGGGAGCCCAAGGTAGGAACTCAGGGCAGGAACCTGGAGGCAGGAGCTGGAGCACAGGCCATGGAGGCTCACTGCTTACTGGCTTGCTCCCCTGGCCCCTGCTCAGCCTGCTTTCTTATGCAACACAGGCCCACCTGCCCAGGGGTGGCACCTCCCACAGTGGGCTGGGCCCTCCCACATTACTCAACAATCAAGAAGCTCCCCCATGGACATGGCCACAGGCCTGTCCAATGAAGGAAATTCCCCTATTGAGGCTCCCTCAACCCAGGTGTGTCAAGTTGACACTAAAACTATCCAGCACACTTGACCCCTTGTGAACTTGACATACAAACACATCACTATTAAACCATAACTTTTCCAATTCTTATCCAGTGGGGGCTAATTATAAATTAGTGCCCCTAAATAGCAATCTAATTGAAGAATTTTGTAATTATTTTATTTATTTATTTTTTACAAAATAAGATTTTACTTTTGTTGTGATTTTTTTTTAATATCCCAGAGTAAAACATCCTGGAAAGCAAAGAAACATTTGTTTATTTTCACCATACACATACATAGAGGTTAAAGAATATTCTCTACTCCTGGGAAGCATGTCCGCAAGCCATCTCAAGTTCAAGTGGGGTTTGTAGCATGTTCTCTCCAAAGCACATACATTCTCCTGGGTTTTAAAAGAAGAGTCTAGACAAAAGTTTAAATGGGAATATTTCAAAATGTTGTTATAAGTTTGGGAAAAGGAATCAAGCAGATATAAATGTGGGTTGAGGTGGGGGGGTGCTTACACATAATGTGCTGAAAAAGAGGAGTGTTTCCAGAAGCATCTCCCTGCTGTATTACTGTAATGGGAAAGTCGAAAGTCTAAAATGTGAAACACTACCGAATCTGGTGGGAAACAAAATGTACTTTATTTCACAATCTTACAGAGGAAAAAATGTTTTGGCAACTAGATGAGCTGTAAGAGAATGAAGATACACGTCAGCCGTCAGCCGGA